TCCAGAGTTTTGCAAATATCTCAGCAACGTTGTGGTTGTATTTCGCTTACTTAGTAACCTGCCATGAAAATTATAGAAGGCAGAAAACAAAAACGTTAAACATAGAGAAGTGATCGTTAGCCAAAATTAATGAGTCACCCTTCGGGAGGTGTGGCTGCTGATTCTGGAGTTCGGCTGGCTATGAATTCGTGTAAAATTACTTAGTGAAGCATTTACTGACAATAAATAGGAAAACGGGAAAGGTTACGACGGCTTCGACTCTTTTGGCCTTTACTTCAGTTTCGATTCCGACTTCTATAACGTGGTATGTCAGTAATTCGGAGCGGGGAAGCGCAGTGGTTGGCGATGCTGTCGATCAGGAAGAAAAGGCTCTAGTTCGATCACCGTCGCAGTGCTTCCCTCCAATCCACGTGGGAACGCGTTGACCCAGCTATCTCCAAGACCTCAAGGGAAATCGACCAGATCCAGCATTCTACGACATTCATAAAGCAGGCGAAATCCTGAAGTAACAGCTGGAAAACACGCGACATGTTCGAAGATCACTGTGGACGATAAGTGAGGGGAGAGCGAATCGAACGCAAGAAATGCTGAAATCTGCATAGTAGAACAGGTCATGTGAAATAAAACAAACAAAAAAAAACTCACTTAGATACGAATTGTTCCCCTAATCAGATAATGGCGCTGATGAACGATATCTGTTCGTGGGATCTACTGTTGGGAGGTGTTTTTAGTTGGCATTTGATACTTAATACTTGAACGGCCCATCCACACTAGTTGTGCGGGCCTCAGCACAGTCACCGTTTTTCGGAGATTTGCTGGTTAAGTCATTCCGGTTCCCTGGAATCCCGAGGACAGCTCAGCAAAAGTCTGCTCCAGGTAGTCACCACGACAGGCAGTCGCAGCCCTTGTGGATCAGAGGGGGATCTGCTACCATGCGACTAGTTTGATACCAAGACAGTGGTCGATCCTGGTATTGGTTTGCTCTTAACTAGGCTTCCTGATGGAAACGCCGGACTCCTTCTCAGCTTGGGAGTCCCTGCCGGGGAGACGAATCCCCCGCTGTACATCGCAGTCCGACACCCACGAATACCTCCCAGCCACGACGAGGTGGATGGGAATTACTAAGTTCATGAAAAGCGCTAGGCATTGGCCTTCAGCTTTCGCATAGTGGTCACTATGGCAACGCGATCTGCGGGCTTGCTGCACCATATGGCAATACGTCGCTTTCCGCAGCTCGCAATTTAATGCATACTGTAAGAAGATTCGTATGTTTTTCTACTCATTCTATCGAATTTAGTCTTTTTCTTCCAACAAAATGTTTTATTTTTATTTAATTTTGTTTAATCCGTCTTCACATCTACTCTGTGGGTCCCAGCACTTCTCACATTAGATTCGTTTCCTTCTCCACAAAGATCTTCCAATATTTACGTGTGGCTTCGGCTACTGCTTGAGGATTTCCATTTCATCTTAGAACACTGGTCGAGCAATCCTCCCAGGATTCCTGGGATAACCGGGCTTCAGCGCTCCCATTTGGATTGTAGAGAGTGACTTTTTCCTAGACAAACCTGGTACCAATTTCCCGACCCCGGAAGGATGACAGGCTTGATTGCCCCGGAGCAGAATCGAAATAGCACCACGCTGGTGATAGTAAACATCACTACCACTGTGCTAGTTGCCCCTATCCTTGCAGAATATTACAAAATAAAATGACGAAGCGAATGATATTGAGACGAATGGCCTCTGTTTTCTTCGTATCTTCATGTATAGGATTGTGCTCTGTACCTTGTAGTTTCGAGTTGCATTTTTTGTGTTCTTTTGCAGAGGCTTCTTCGATTTTGTTCTGCTATTTGCAACAGTTACAAATTCACAAAAAAAACCATTTCTAGCGTACTTCCAAATGTATGGCAAATCATAAGAAATTTTAGAAGAACTGTAGCACAATTCGATCATATAGTGAAGCAAGACGCTTCTGCTCCACGTCTTATGAGCGTCTCCGTGCTGTGGATGTGATTCAAGTAGTTTGACGTTGGACATGATGTTTACTCTCATTGATAATCGTATAGCAATCACTGTAAATGGAGCTTCTTTTGGGACTGGAGAACTTTAAGTGACTTACAGAAAAGACTTTGCTTGCTAGGTTTCGATTTTCAATGCTGCAGGATGGATTGTTCATGGAAAAATTATTACCAACCGAAGATCATTGTCATCAGGCCAAATTAGGTTACTTCACTCGGGTCTATCCACTGCGGTGATCGGCTCTGAAGAGGACGATAACGTCGAAACGTTAGCCGAATACACCCTTCTATATAACCTCATGTTGGCTTAAAAATTCATGAAGGCCTTGCTTGCTGTGTTTCAAATTTAAATTCAATGAGGTTTCCAATGTCACTTATGTCCACAGGCAACTGTTATTTCAAATATCCATTCGTTTTCTTGGTAAGGATTCGATCCTTCGATTAAAAAAGATGAGAAAAACTATTCCATAACTCCAGAATCGTGACATTTGGTAATGGTGAAGGAATCAAATTTGCGCATAGTTCGCTAGCGTGTGGGCCGGTGGCCTTGCTTCGGTACGTTTGACATCCCAACGATTCCAGCCATTAACGGCTCATGTTCATCGGTTGTCGTTCATAAGCTTTACGTGTCAGCCCCACCTTATCTTCATTAGTTTGGCATGTAGGACAGTGTCTTTGATTTTCGATCGTTGACGTAGATCGGAGCTTCGGATCTCTTCCTCACTTGCATGACACCGGTTACTTGCAGCATTTTATCATCTGCACGTTCAATAATGCTGAGTGGTCTTTCATCGTTTTTGCGTAACCACCAAGTTACTAACGGACATATCAGGGGAGGAAGAATCATGGAGTCGAAAAGGTGGGCGCAGAGATGGCCGCGTTTCCTCCACTTCACTACATCATCGGTGCTGTTGATAGCTCTCCAAGCCGCTTGTTTCTTCTGCTGAGCTCTGGAGCTAAGTCGTTCATCATGTTAACTCCCACAGCTAGGATAACCCACCTGGAGCATTTGGAGATATTCATTTCGTTGAGCATGAATGGGGCACACATAACCAGTCCGTTCCTCATGAACATCGTTTCAGCGCTAACGTGAAGATATTGAATGGATCTATGGTATTCTTAGTAGTGTTATCAATAGGGATATTTTCCCAAGATCCGACTAATGAACTGCATGAATCCTATTCTATGGTGGTCTTAGCTCGGTCGAAGGAGATGATGGTCTGTTCCCGTGTGCAACTTCGGAACAACAGCGACATCGGTTAGGCATGAACCTCGATTTACTATGATGTGGTCTATTTCGTTATTGTACTCATCACTGGGAGACTCCCACGTCCAGCATTGAAAATGGGGTTTCTGGAATTGTGAATTACCATGGTCTTGGTGCTTATGACAGAATTAGACGGGCGTTCACCCTGCTCCTTCCCTTCTAATCCGTGCTTCTCAACGTGACGTTCTTCAGACATTATTCTGGGTCCAGTCTTAGCGTTAATATTCTCCAATAATGTCCTTGAAGAATTTATGGTCTTCTCTGTAGAACTCTTCCACATAGAACGTTTCCACTTTGTCTTTGTCATAGCTCGATGTCGGCGCGTAGACAACGAAGGTTGTCAGAAACGATCCGCGCCTTTTGATCTACGTCTTTTAACCGTAAAAGTCCAGTTTGGACTGTTAGTTCCTCCCTCGAATATATCGGTCTTCATGGCCAAAAGTTGTGTTGACGAGAACGCTGACGCCGCTGACTCCTTTACAGTCAAATGTTCCGAGAAGCAGTTCTTCTCCAGTGTCCTAGATTGCGTTGAATGAGTGGTGTCTTTTCGTCTCGGCAGATCCGATTACGTCGAACCTTACCCTTCCCACCTGCATGATCAAATTTTCTATTGAGGACTCAGATGCTAGTGTATGTGCTTTGTAGGTATAAATCGTTACGTTAGCCTTTTGCGATTTAAGCAGCCCAGAATGGCAATGAGGTTTTAGGAGCTTCTCCGTATTCGCCTTACCCAGCGTTGCCGTATTGGGGCCCTTTCATGGTAGGGAGAATGAGCACCGTTTATTTTTCTGTGTTTAACCTTTTCATGCCCACGTATACCTTGGTTAGCTCTAAACGTGAGGCTGACTATACTCATGTGTAGGTTGCCAGTCTCTTCCAGGGTAGAAAGGGAGCTTATTTGTTGGAGGCGATGCCTAACTGCCCGAATATACCTTCCTGTTGCTTGACTGCAATCTTTTGGCCGAACTGACCGGTAGAGGACAGTCCGCATAAACGGAATGCACCCATACACGGTTGCGTGAACATGTCTACGTATACGTATTTGCTTCTCAGGGGGTATAACGTCGTTGTTGGTGAGCGGTTAACCTTCTATCTGCCACCTAGAAACGCTCCCCATTTCCTCGAGTTTAACTGGCATGAGATCCATCTGTGAGGGAGATCCATGGGTATTGCTATTTAGTAAAAAATAACTGTGTCATTGCAAACTAGTTGGAACCTTAAATATTCTGGTGGTCTACTGACAACTACTTTTATCCTACCTAATTGATGAATTGTGTTATCGGCCGCATTTGATTGTGTGGAGAGTTATATGGTTTCCTTCTTAGATTTGGAATGGCTGAAGTATATGTAAGTGGACAAATCGAGTCCGCCGACAGCTTTGGCGATAATCGACTGTGTTGTCGATGGAGACTACAAACAGGTGCGATCAGTTGAGATCATTAGGAAAATCGCTGATAACCAAAATTGCTGAAAGTAAAAACAGAAACTTTACTTCAAATATAAATAACCGATTTCTTGTTATTGGATTTTTAAGACGAATTACTTGTTGGATTTTTTCATACTATATAGTTATCCTTTTCAATCAACAAATATCGATCAATTTTTTTAAGCAAATGATAACGGATAAAGGATAAAGTGTAGCGCAGTGGTTAGTGATGCAGTAGACCAGAAATCAAGGTGCTGATTGGACCCCTACACAACGCCCTCCTTCAAACCACGTTAGAACTCCTTAACTCGCCTATTTCTAAGATTGCGAGAACAGTGGGGTCGACCAGAACTCTACGACATTCATAAAGAAGAGAAATCCTAAGCAACAGCTGAAACAACGCGGGAAATTTTAAGAACTTTATGGACGATGAATTCGAGGAAAACGAATCTAGTGCAGGAAGTGCTGGGATCCGCACAGTAGATGTGTTGGCGGGCTATGTAAAATAAAATAAGAATGGAAAAGCGATGTATTAAGTCAACGCTTTTCTTCTTTCAGACATGTTTGGAACCAATTTGCTGACCACGGACTTTGGTTCTGCATGACGCTGGGTCGAACAAAGACTATGTTCGTGGTATAAAAAAATAAAGGATAAAGCTCTCGGCGTTGATCAATCCTTGAGGGATGCTTTATGCATTCGACTTTATTAAGTATCGTTGGGGGTGATTGAATGCACATCAAGCCTTTGCAGTGACTCGCGGTGGCCTACCGTTGTATTGAACCAGTGCTGCTATCCTCCTAGACAAGTCTGCTACCAATTTTCTCACCCCGGAGGAATGGAAGGCTAGGTGGGCCATGAGAGCGTGGATCGATTCCACGTGTGTGTTGCAGGGCGCCTCCAACCAGTATGCTACGCGCGCCCTTCATGTTCATGGTACTACACCTTTAACCAATGTGCACCATGTATTGGGCTATCCCTGCTGTAAACAAATACTTCGTTCTCGTACTTAGTGGTTGTTATAAATGCAAGTTGTTTCTAGGAAATGAGTTCCTCATTATACTGATCGTTCACGGTTACTATAGGCGGCGGTTGGCGAGTGGTTGAGGGTGCGGTGGACGGACAAACCCAGACCGACTTGCCTTCGGTGTTCGAAGAAGCTTATTTTGCTCATCCTATTGACCTTCATTTGGTAACAAAAACTATTCAAGGTTTGAGAAACGGTCCATCATTGCTCAATTCCTTTTCTTTTTTTTTCATCTATCCATACACAAATTATCCGATAAAGTTCCATTCCAGTTGTTGGAACCAGCTCTACCAAACTCTTCTCAGTCCCATGTTTTTTTCTGAAAAGTAAAACATCTACATTTATGAAACGTTGCATGTACAATCTGTTTCGCGCTATTTTGTACCCTTCTCTTCATTGCTGCCGATATTTGGGAAGAATGACTACTTTCCGACGGCCATTCACATTATAATGCAGAATAACAATCTCTTGTAGGTTGGCCTCGAATTGAGCTTCAAGTCTGGCATCACGACACCTTTGGACGGCAAGAGCTTGTCGGCTACGGATCGATATTTGTACCAAGCACTCCAGGAGAGCATCAGGTTTGCTCGGTTCCTTTTATAGAGAATACTGATCTTCATGTTGTAGAGAAGATTTTTTCGTGTAAATTTTGCCATTTTGTATCCAAGATTACTCGTTTTGGCCGTATTTCTTGCGTTCTAAACACCGCTGGACAGCCTCTGTGTAACTTTGCTTCTTTCATTCTTAAAACTAAGTGGTGTACGATTAAAAGGAAATTTGGCTGGAGTTTTGGTCCATTTTAATTAGGACATAAATTGCTCTATGATCATATAAACACGAAATTTGGCACCTTTACAAGGTACACGGTTTCCGGAAATTGAGATGTCATGCCTGGCGTTGTGTCTAAATATTAATTGCTCGTTTTACCTTTTGTTTCCTGCCTACTACAATTTTCACGAGGGGGTACTAAACGACTAACGTTGTGGTTGTATTTCGTTTAGTACCCTGCCGTGAAAATTGTAGTAGGCAGAAAATAAAAGGTAGAACATTGTGATTTCAGCTACAACCTCATCTTAACTGGGTTCAATGCCGATGTGGGCTCCCCAGATCAATCCCGTTGACAGGTGATTGCTGATGGTGCTGATCGATAGAACTAACCGAGAGATAGGCGAAACGAAGGACCCGCATGGTGTGGTGGTGAACGTGTTACTCCCCGGAAAGCACAATAGCGTGTTCGTTCCCCACCATAGACACCTGCGGTCCAGAGTTTTGCAATTATCTTAGCAACGTTGTGGTTGTATTAATTGCTGGGTTTTTTCTTAATATGTTCCTGTATGTATTTTGGTCAACGTTTTCTTTGAGCGACTGAATATTTTACTACTTTTGACATTTAGTTTTAAAACGATTCTTACTGTATGGTTTAGGACATGGTCAATGGTCACTTTGCAAAATGACTAGCATTGTAGATTCTTATATAACACAAAATAGTTCTCGATATTCTTGTTGAGCAAACTCGGGTTGTTACTTTATTCTTTATTCCGTTAAAGCTGACGTTTCGACAGTATCGCTTCCTCAGAGCCGTTCATTACGTACCTTCCACTGAGGAAGTACAGATGATCAGAGTCGCATATGGTCGATGAATCTTTTGCAATCTTTCCTTAGTGGAGGCACGTAATAAACGGCTCTGAAGAATGCGGTACTGCCAAAACGTCATCTTTAACGGAATAAGGAATACAGTAATACCTCGTGTTTGCTCAACAAGTATATCGGAAACTAAACTAGCAGACCGTGAAAATGGTTGAGCTGCGTCGAACATTGGCGCACAATATGTGTGATGGCTCTGTAACTCATTTGGTGAGCTCGTATTTTCCTAAAAACGAATGAGTTTGGAAAATGGGCGGCTATGGTGCAGTGTAATGGTGTGGGCTGGCTGTCTGATCAACCAGAAACATGCGTCCTTCGCATTCCGGATGTGCCGGCCTTTTTGTATAGCAGACCTGTCTGCGAATTGAAAGCCCAATATTGGCTTCCATTTGCTGACCGACAGGTCATTCTCGGCATCAATATATGTAAGGTCACAGTACAAAACTAATCAGGTTTTCGTAGTTGTGTATAGCATAGTGATTAGAGGTGCTCTACAATGTACGCATCCTGCTTTCGATCTTTCATCCTGAGTCAAGCAGGTCTCGCATTTTTTCGGGGTCGGTAGATTGTTATCAGACTTGTCTGAGAGGATAATTTCACTGAATAAGTTACTGTATAGGCGAAATACGCATTCAGTCACCTCCACGATACTTTTCGGGCATCCAAATCCTACCTAACTAACCTTTAGTGTAGAGAAAAAAGGTATTGCCTAAATGTCGGTTAAAATCCACTAGCGCTTTCCATTTTCAATCTCGTTCATGAAGTAAAAAAAGTAGCGGACTCTGATGAGCAATCTACCAGTAGGGGTGGTTGCCTCCGTTACTGAGAACCACCTCTGCGTCGTATCCCTTTTCAAAATTTCTTGTCGTGACGAAAAAATATGGAAAAAATATTTTGAGAGCAAATGGAATGTGATTTCAGTTAATATGCAATATTTGGCGACCAAAGGGAACGCCACGAGAGGAATTAATGCAGAAATTCATTGGAGGCGGAATACAGGTACTTTTCGCATCTGTATTGTCTTTACTATTAATTGGACTCTTGGTATGAGCGCTCCATTTTTAAATCTCATCTAATAGAATCTATTAGACTCCTCAAAACGTTTCACATAACGCAAGCCTTTGTGTTTAGCGTTAATTTATACACAATTTAGACTATTGAGACAAAAATGAAACGAAATAAAGTTCGAGAAAATCTTTGCATGGAAGTCAAATTTACAGGCATTGAAGCATAAAAGGCTCGCAATACTAGGTTGATGTTCTAATGGAAAAGCAATAAGGGTCGTGTAGTGCAATAGCGTTTCCAAACACACGTGATCGAGATGGAAACCTTAGCGATGAGTCGGAATGCAGAGAAAAGCTGGTTTCCGTCGACAATGATGACTTAAATACAGTAACTGCAAAAGATCCACCCATTAATAACGATTCGAGGATTTGCGACGATAAGTAGCCGCAGGTAGAGAAACTTTCAAAATGCCTCAATCAAATTTGAGAGTTTGAAGGAAACTGAACAGTCAGGACTCGCATGGATTGAACTGATGGGAAGAAGATCAATGTCATGCAACCAGCTTTTTGTTTCTTCTGCTCAACAAAAGTGATGTATTTCGCGTGGATCTCTTTACAAATGGATTATGCAGGACAACTGGTGACTTTATACCGATGCATTTTCTGAAGTCAAATTTGCATCAGAAAGAACGTTGTGGTGACTGCCTTGTGAGCTCCTTTGCGGATTCATCTATTGCCTGAAACAATATGGAATCCCGATAAAACCATTGCAGTAGACTCCTAGTATAAGGTTTCTAACGGATTCGATGTTAAATGCTGGGCAACCTATGAGATTTGCGGAAAGTTTTGATCAACCGGAAGGTACCAGTTCTGTTGCACAGCAATGCCCCACCGTGCTCTGTAATATTCGTGAGAACTGAAATAAAATTCTATTGTTCTTGTAATAGTTCCCAGGATCGACTTTCTCTTAACCTTGGCATTGGAATATGAATGTGTCGTTTTCTTGTTCAGCAATCGCGAGGTTTCTAAACAGCATACATTTACTTCCATAAAAACACAATACAATGCAACGCTAGCTGACGTTTCGGCAGTATCGCCTTCTTCAGAGCCTGGAAGGGCATACTGATATACAATCTACTAGGCCAAACGCTTCAATAACACTTACAAAAAGACGAAAGACTCTTTGGTAATTACACGATCAACAACTTCTCGAAAGAAGACCCACCGCTTTTTCGTGACTTTCAATGAGGAAGTTTAGAACAGCTGATTATAGTCGCATGTGGTTGACGACTGCACCATCCACAGCTCTTTTGTGATTTCCAATGAGGAAGTTTAGAACAGCTGATTATAGTCGCATGTGGTTGACGACTCCACCATCGCACATCAAAAGCGGTGGGTTTTTCGAGAAGTTGTTGATCGTGTAATTACCAGAGAGTCTTTCGTCTTTTTGTAAGTGTTATTGAAGCGTTTGGCCTAGTAGATTGTATATCAGTATACCCTTCAAGGCTCTGAAGAAGGCGATACTGCCGAAACGTCAGCTACTGTTGTATCGTATTGTGTTTTTATGGAAGTAAATGTATGCTGTTTAAAAACCTCGCGATTGCTGAACAAGAAAACGACACATTCTATTGTTCTTCTTATATATTCGCCGAACTTCGTTATGCTGTCACTTTTTCATATGTGTGATCATCTACTTTGCTGGAAAAATTTGGCAGCCAACTTGAGTTTAGACGATTGTAATAGTAACTTCCTTGACGTTCCACGCCACACCGTCATCAATTTTGAGAACCGCTTTCACATTGGTGCAGTTCTCTCGCACGCAATTTGAGCACGAATATGTTTGTAACATTATGATTGACCGTTCATTTTCGTGACTCACAGCTGTTAAATTGTACTGCATGCACATCAACACGATGCCCTCAGTGTAAAATTACGGTACCCATCGAGGTTTGTTTGCAATATATAGGCGTGGTTTATGCTCTATGATCCTTGCGCGATGCAATGTTGACTTGCTCGTGTTTGGATAGACTAAAAGGGAATAGGAAGGTAAAATTGTGCGGGAATTGATGAACCACGATAAATGTTAGGAGTAGATCTCGCACGGTGAAATAGTTATATATGTTGGCCTAAAAAGCCTTAGCGTTTGAAGAATTCTGTGCAGTAATACTAGAGTGATAAAAACGACCACATGATTTGTGTTCCAACAGTAAATTATCCACTCCAAAATTGTCTACTGCGTCACCGTTCCTGGTGGCAAAAGAGTACCTTACGGTGTTTTAATGTAAAACGTTGTTTTGTACTTCTAAATGCCCAAGCAAGCTATTGAGGAGTGCGATATTCCCACTCGGAAATCCCATTAAGATTGAACTTATACCATGACATAGATCTATCCAAGTATATGTAATTACCTAATAGCAGAATACTTGGATACTTGGATGACCCGTTTTCACTGATTGTGCGGATCCCAGCATAATTTCTATTTTTTACGAGTTTTGCTGGTTTAGCCATTGTGGTTAGTTGGAATCCGGAGGTAACCTTAGCCAAAGTCTGCGGCTGGTTGTCACCACCATATGCAGTCGCCGCTCTTGTGGATCAAAGCGAAATTTGTCACCATGCCATTAGTTTGATACCAGGACGGTGATGGATTCTGGTATTGGTTTATTCGTAGCTGAGCTTCCTAATTGAAAAACCGGAATGTTCCTCAGCTTAAAAGACCCTGCCAGGGGATGAATCCAACTGCTGAACATCGCTGCCCGACACCCAGGAGTATCTCCCAGCCCCAATGAGGCGGTAAAACCGTTGAAAGATAGAGGTAAACCAAAATGATATTCCCGGGTTCATTTTGCGTACGGAAACCAGTGAGTAGTATCGATGCGGGATGGGGTCATGTAGCGAATATAACCCGGTAGCACTCTTTCACATTACTCCGTGACTATAGGTGACAGGTAAAAAATTGTATTCAGGTGTACCAGTTGACCAAATCGACCATACGTCGCCATAAATCGACGCTTGGTCTCCTGTTCTTTTTTGCTTGTGAATAGTAGAACGAGATAATTAAGATTATTGCAAAAACCGCTGGGCGGAGCCAGAATGATGGATGATGCTTCACCTAGCTGAAACATTGAGATTGTTCGTCAAATAACTCTAATAGCTGTGCAGCAATTCTTTTCTCAGAGCTGAAATCAAAAAATGAACTCGTTTTTTTTTCCCGAAATTCTAAGCTGCGGTTACAAAAAATAAGCAAGCCTACAGTTGCCATCTGAGCGCATAATTAGTAAGAAAAAAGCAACGGAAAAATTTGTTGGAGACACCCTTTTCAAACATGAGAACCACTGTAGACATTGGTTTCACTTAGCTTCTTATAGCATCAAATAGTGCGCTTGGTTGCAAATCGGTGAAATTTACCACGTGACCCTTTTTTTCATGATTAATGATTATAAAGAGTAAATGAGAGTCTCCCAAGCCGAGAATGAGTGCGGCATTTCCGTTTTCCGTCAGGAAGCCTAGCTAGGTGTAAACCAATACCAGGATCCATCACCGCCCTGGAATCAAAGTCGTATGTTGGCAAATCTCCCTGTGACCCACAAGGGCTGCGACTGCCCGTGGTGGTGAAGACATGGGACAGACTTTGGCCAGGCTGACCTCGGGACTCCAGGGAGCCATAATGGCTTAGCCAGCAAATCTCCGAAAAATGGAGATAACGCTGGGGCCCGCAGAACCAGTGAGGATGGGCCATTCAAGTATGAAGTATCAAGTAAGTAAAGAGTAAATGACTAACTGTCTGGTGTTAATCAATTCCTTAAAGATACGCAGTGAACTCGGCTTCATTTAGCTTCGTAAAAGTTGTGGAAGGCATATTTGATTTGGACAATAAATTGCAATTAATACAGTGATAATTGTGTGTCATGTCGCCATATTCCAACTTTTTTCTTCGGCCTATTCTTTTTTTCGTAGCAGAGAATGCCATGAAGTATAACCTCATGGTTTCTAAGATACAAACAAAATTCGTTACCCGCTTAGAGTAATCAGGGATTTGAAATCCAACTGTGGTTCCGAGTTTTGCTCTTATCTGAGCATCACTATGGTTATACCAAGTCATTGTTTTTATCATTCCAGACTAGCATGGCATCAATTCACGGAATCGACACGGAACTCGGGTTTATATACTACCTCTGTCTTGTATATCTATACATCTATATGTATATGTTATATCTTATACATTTTATATATTCGTCTCCGCAAATGCTACAAGAACTCAGGTATATCGTGCCTGAACTCATGCAGTCACCTGTTATAAGAGGAAATTACGCAATTCTATGTTTCACAGAGACGGTCACGGAGGTTACTGTTTCGTAACTATTACAGTTTGCTATTCACCGAGCAAAGCTGATTCTCCCTTTAGTTCCATACTTGTGGACACAGAGGTGGATGTTCGAAACATGTTTCTCACAAGCGCTCTCTTTCTGTGTGAAAGGTGGGAAGAAAGGAAATGAACGAGGATGTTCTTGTTACTTTTCTTTCGGTACCACTTTGTCATGTTGCCGCTATTTGATAAGTTTATTTGAACGTTTAGAAACGGAAGCCTGTTTTCTTTTGGTTTCTCTCGGGTGAGCTTGATGTACTCAGACTGCTCATTCAATAATTCGAAGCATTTGTCCATCTCCTCCTGCGCAGAGAAGACGACAAAAGAAGACAGACGAAGGCAGACAAAACAAAGCACGCTACTAGGCACGCATAGGATACGAAAACATAGCGCGGAACATTTTGATGTAAAAGTCGCTATCCTGGCACGGGAGACTAAAACACCAATGCGCAAATTTTTCGAGGCTTTTTGGATAAACGCCAAATATCCGAGAATGAATAGCAGGGAAGAATGCCCAGAGATAACACGTCATATAGCCCCGTATCTCACAATTGGTTTTTGATGAGGGGTGGCGCAGTCATCATCCATATACGGCTCTAAGCGGCTATTCTTCCTTGGCGGAAGACAGGTAAAATACGGTTGGTTTTTTGACTATTTGTGATGGTGAAGCGTTTGACCTAGTAAATTACATATTAGTGTACCGTTTCAGGCTCTGAAGAAGGTGATACTGCCGAAACTTCAGGTACCGCTCTGTTGTAAGTAACTGCCACGACCGACTTTCTATTAACCTCGGCATTGATAAAGTGATTTTCTTCGTATTTTTGTTGAGCAAACGCGAGGTGTTACTATTCTTTGTTCACGATTAAGCTGACGTTTCGGCGGATTTCGCCTTCTTCAGAGCCTGGAAAGGTCAAGTTGATAGCAACTCACTCGGCCAGACGCCTCCATAACCAAACAAAGAAACTCCAAACCAAGATTTCAATCACTTTGAAAGTGTTCAGTTGTGTTGCTATGTTGTGTTCAAAGCGTTGTTCAAAGCTGTGTTCAAAGTGATTGAAACCTTGGTTTGGAGTTTCTTTGTTTGGTTATGGAGGCGTTTGGCGGAGTGAGTTGCTATCAACTTGACCTTTCCAGGCTCTGAAGAAGGCGAAATCCGCCGAAACGTCAGCTTAATCGTGAACAAAGGTTGCTATCAACTTGACCTTTCCAGGCTCTGAAGAAGGCGAAATCCGCCGAAACGTCAGCTTAATCGTGAACAAAGAATAGTAATACCTCGCGTTTGCTCAACAAAAATACGAAGAAAATCATCTGTTATAAGTGTTTTTCTTGTAAGGAAGTAAATGTGCTGAACAACAACTAGGCGATTGTTGTTATCGTTGTTTGCTAATACACAGTGGCTGACTTTTCGAAGGTTTCACCTTCTTCGAAGCCTGGAGGAGTTAAATTGACACGAACTACAGTTTATCGACCCTTCCTGGATTAGAGTTGTTTTGTATCTCCACCTGCTCGAACGATCGAAAGAGCTTATATTTTGTATATAATCCTCTAACTTTTTTTCGTGATATGGTACTTCATCAGAGGGCTTCTCGTCATGGCTTCTGAAGTCGTTTTTAGCAACCAGGGATATCCTGCTTCGCTGTACCTTGCAGTTCACTAATCAGGAACACTTTCCTGCCCCAAAGAGGTAGTAAACTAATCAGTGGAACGAAGAAGTGGAGTGTGGAGAAGGCATCGAATATAAAAATGAATCGAGTAGAAGAGATACTTAGTGTGCATTGTTATGACACCATCTACAATAGAAGGAAACTGATGGTTTTTTTCTGGTTTTAAAGTTCTTGTATTTCCATAGGAATAAACGTAATGATCATGTTCGTTTTTTAACTTCTAAATGGAGAACACTGACCACTGGAACCTCTTCCAGGTGTCGTCGTTGGAGATTCTCAATGACCCAGCAGAACGCATGCGAATCAAAACCGTGGCAATGGGACGAGTTCATCTTCGGCTTTACGTCATCACTCGTCATTTCGAACAATTTGGTATTTTATCATGAAATCACGAGCAGACTGATCATAGCCATATATCGAGCCTATTCACCTAGGAATTCATAGGCATGGTTGTTGTAGTATATAGGAAATTGTAGTCAGAAAATTGCCGAAGTCATTGGTCAAAAACTCGAGTCTCTTGTTTTATGTCACTTTTTTTTCTCATTTTATTCCATTACAACTGTTCCATGGTGCTTTATTTATAAGGCACACTTCGCTGGTTTGTATAGGACATGTTGTAAACAATGGTAGGAAACCAAGTTCATGATGCACATACTTATGAGTATTTCGCTGTAAAAAAATCTATATAGACTAAACACGTTCGTGACGAGATTGAATTTCATCCACCGCAATAATTTCACAGATTCATCGTCATCACTGTTCGACTCTCGAATTCTGGATTTCCTGATCTTGATATCTAAATTCAGTTTAAGATGCGCAGTGTTTAGAGGCGCCGTGCATACACGCATGCTTGCAGGTTCTGTCAGCCACTGCGCAAAACTTCTGCCCTTTTACAACTAGCAAATAGGTAGCAAACGTATCCGGAAATATTTTCTTCCGATTTGTCAAGGTCGGTTACTGTATGTGATGAGGATCTGAAGACGCTGTAGAGAAGCTGTCTCGAGGTTCCAGAGAAGATCAGCTAACCAGCATTCAACGACAATCGTGAGGATGACAAGAACCTCAATTGACAGCCGAACTTCTGCGCTAATCGAAAGATATTCTTTTATGTTGGACGCGAAGAAATAAGCCTAAAGAAGGAATGCTCGAATCCGTAAAATGAGCCAAATCGATTCATATGAGGACTTTTTACATGGTCCGCTATCACATTTACTGTGCGGATCCCAGCACTACCTGCATTGAATTCGTTTTCCTTCCATCCTTCGTCCAAAGGTCTCTGAAGAATCTGTTGTTTCGGCTGCTGCTTGAAGATTTCGTCTTCTTTTTTAAAATGAATGCTGTAGAATGTTAATCGAATCGATTCTCTTCACAATCTCGGAGATAACTGAAACAAGGGCTTCCCACGTTGATTTGAGAGCATTGGAAAGGAGGCCTTTGCTTTCTGATTGATGGCACCACTAACCACTGCGCTAGCGCCACCGCCCATAAGAATAAACAGATGAAATTAAGCTATTTATCCATTTATCAAGATAGTGATAGAACTTTTTCCAACCGATATTGTTCTGTCTACCATGAAATTGGAAAAGGTCCTCGCCCTACGTTTTAATGGGTTGTCAGACGCTTTATTCCACCTTGAGGAGATAATTTTTGTATACTATGAAGTATCAATGGATAGGATGTCCCCGGTTAGAGTCACCACCATACATAATGCCTTTCTTCTTAACATTTCTTGCACGATAAATTATTAAGGGATTTTTCATAAAATTGTTGAATAACGGCTTAAAAGAACTATTAAACGATGGGAACCGCAGCTATATTAAGCGACGAAGACAAATGGAAAATTAGTTTACACGTAGTCGAGTTGTTCAACTATGAACAGATAGAGTAGAACATGTAAGAGACGAGTTTGAAGTGTTTTAGTGATTTCCATTTTCTTCTACACGAGAGATTTAGGGAACTCAAAAGCTTAGAACCAAATACTAGCTCCTCGTCGCAACGGTTTACCACCTCATCGTTGCAAGGAGGTGTTCCTGGGTGTCGGGCTGCGATGTACAGCGAGTGGACTCATTTCCCCGGCAGGGTCTTCCATGATGAAAAGTCCGGTGTTTCCGTGAAGAAGGGCAGATAAGAGTAAACCAATACCAACATCCACCACCGTCCTGTTATTAAACTAGTCGTATGGTGGCAAATCCCCTGATCCACAAAGGCGGCGACTAGTAGTGGCAACCCGGGGCACACTTTAACTAGACTGACCTCGGAGCTTCAGGGAACAACAATGGCTTAACCAACATAAATCCGAAAAATGCAGAACATGCTGGGGCCCCCACAACCAGTGAGGACATGTCGTCCAAGCATCCAAATAAGTATAGTTGCTCCTCTCTGTTCGCTCACTCGATTGCAAAACATGACGAATAGATACTACTGAAATACTGCGTATACACATTACCGCTTTGCAGTAGTGAGGTAACGAACGGTATGTAAAACCATCATATTTATCACATAAAATAATAGAAATGCGGTCATCGAACACAGAGCAGCGTGTCAATGGATCCCAAAGTGGTGGTGGTGGTGGTGGCGACGGAGTCAGTCGTAACGAAATGGATCAGGAAGCAATATGATTTCCATATATCTCAACATTGAACGTATTTATAAAAAAAAGAAAAAGGAAGAAAACGAAACAAAACAGAACAGAACAGTGGAGGAGATACAACCCTCAAAATTCTAGGCACAGAGAGATGTGTATGAGTGCACCTAGGCCCGTAGTGAATGTAATTCGGTACAAAGACATGCAGAGAAAAAGGCACAAAAATTGATGTACGAAACATAAAAGATGAAAAATGCTAAATGAAAAGAAAACAAATCACAAAAAACCTATTTACAACAAAATAACGCGAACAAATAAGAACGCACTTTCATTAAGCAAACCAAACTTGTCACTGCTTAAATGGGCAGCAAACCAAACACGGTGAGTTTGTTTTGAACAAAAACGAAACACGACAGAATGACTGAATTTTAAACCTTTGCTAAAGTGACAGAGATTATTTTAACGACCACGTACCCAGTAAATGCTACTCCGATTTCTATAGATCGCATAAGGCTAGCATAATGCCGACTTTGGAGGCGAAAATGCTAAATAATTCATTTGAATGATAGGTATAGATGAAGATTGAGAGGAATAGGATTGATGGACAGCTATCATAGCTAACGGGACGGCTAGGATGTCGTAAAGAGAAATGCGAACAAATGACGATAGAAGTCCCAATCAACTGCAAAGTTATTACGCCTAAGGCGTGGAATAATTAACTCGCTAACTGAGACGTAAAGGAGCTAAAAAAACAGCTGAACAGTAGAACGCACAGCTGTCGTCTTCTAACTGTCTTACAGTACCATACTAACGTCTTAACGTTCTATAACAGTCAGAATCAATCAGCTGGAGATCACTATATGTCGTTGTTAACTGGTAATGGCGTTTTCATCGTCAATGTTGGAGTTTTTAAACTATCGCATGGGAATTTGAAGAGACTGTTGTTCAGTGACGAAAGTACATTCGCCGGACTCATCATCGTAGCCAGAGGATGATGCATTAATGAGCTGGCTCCACCACTGGTTGCTGCTGACACAGGTGGAAACTGAAAGATGTGCGTCGCAGCAGCTGTCGGTGTCGTCAGCGGTGATCTATAACAGAACTAATTTGGTAATTTATTCCGATATAAACTTCCTGGTACTTTATACCCTATCAATTAAGTTGGCAACGATCCTCGATAGTGAACCAACAACAATCCAAAGCATCTACTACTGGACACTAATGAACAGATGTCTACTGGATAATCGTTTCTTTGGATTTGTACATCCACGATTTGTGATTTCTAGTGACTGAGAAAACCAATAAACATTAGTTGCATTGCCATTTTTGTAACTGCTTCGACTTATAGCATACATAGCGTTCAGGATAATAGCCAACTGTTTTAATCAATATGCAGTCAGAACGGACCTAGAGCGTGACTGATTGACGGATAATGTTAAGGTTTTCAAGTTTCAATAAAAACCAAAAATATGTGAACAAAAGAAGGGGATATGAACAGTAGAGTTACACTTCAGTGTTGATTGATCATCTTCTATTTTTTCTAGTCAGAATGTTCGTTTCTAGAACCTGTTTTTCGATTTACAGACCGGTAAAAGGGACAGGCCGTACAACATCATTACCTTTCTCGTCAGTCGACACCTTAGTCACACTCTCTTGAATGATCTAATGGCTATCGTTGACGCATAGGGTTAGCAAATATCAATGTCGTCTAGCATAAGAATTTTAATCTTTAAAATTCAGCTACTGATTTATGTGATCTATAATTTTGCCAGATATAAAACATTGGGGTCCGCAGTATCGGTTAAATACAGTACTCTTTAAAGAGTCTTTTTCTTAAGAAGAACCTATTGAAATCACTCTTGATGATAAAACGAAAAAAACCGTCGGAATAGTGTAACATCGAACAAAACCTGAATGGTGACGTTGTCATCGCTGCCAGTACCGGCGAATTCGGTGTGAAGATGGGCGTTGTCGAGGCGAGTGCATACAACTGAAGTCGATGTTGCAAGAGTAACGGCGACATCTGTTGCATTAGTTGCATGTGATATGGTGAAATAGCGCCATGTGGAAGACTAGGCGACAACAGTTGCGTCGTCGCCGACAGATTCAGTGGATCGGGACGTGGACGACGTGGAACCTAAAAGACGTTAGGAATAAAAGTAACGCTTTATTCTATAACATGAACGCATGTAACGCAGCAATTAGAGGTGCCCTGAAAACAAAGCACCCACGTAGCCGTTGTTTCGAACCCGCATTCCAGGTAAAGGCACCATTCTTTAGGGATTGGTAAAGTAATACCAAACTTCTCTGGCAGGATAGTAGTATTGACTTGGTAAATTGCTGGGCCACCGCTAATCGTTGTATGGGCTAGATATAAATCCAGTCTACTCCACGATGCTTCATAGAGTCGAATCCTTGGTGCATCCCTCAAGTTTTGATCAATACCGAATGCTTCATGCTTTAGAGTTTTATAGCCACATATAATCACCAAGGCAGCAATTTGAACTCAACGAGGAAAACATACTTTCTCTCTCTCTCTAACCCTCTCTCAACAATGAGATATTACCAAATTCACAATTGCAAACCGAGTTTTCCATTGAGAGCAAAACTAACAGGATTTACTTGTTTAAAAGGAAAATAATTTAAGGATTTGATGGCTTATTTCCCTACTTTAAGAATAATCACAACAAAGCAACTAGAAAAAATGTTGAAAAGTTTAAAGCATTAACCTCCGCAATAGGCGATGCCCGCCGTTTTCTTGATGAATCCGAATGAACTGATGCTGGCCTAGAGGACGGACCAGGCGGTGTGATGCTTAGGGTTGGTAACGACGACACACCAGATGACGATCCTACGCTATGCGGAGAACATAGGCTGAAAAAAAGCTTTATCCTCTTGTCGTTTTCCTTTAGTTAGCTCGTGTAAACAGTACTTGATTCATGCTAAGAAAAACTTTTATTTTGCTTAATAAAAGCATGTATTGTAACAAAGTTTTATTTAAATGGAACGATACCGGAATTTCCCATCTTCACTAGTACTTTTGAAAATTGTAACTGTATCAACGACACAGCATGGCTTTTTCTTCCCACCAAAATCTTCGACTGCTGACCTTTTTGTTTACGGAACATTGTAACAGACATGTCGAGAATAATTCTTTAACCCATTGACAACTAAGGAAGTTTTTTCAATAATTGCCGAAAATTCAAGGAACTAGAGTACTTGAAAATTTGAGGGGTCGAAAAACTTATGCAAGAGACATTGCCCAAGCGCAAAATGCAGGAAGGCCATATTCACGCGACCGTTGTGTTCCTCTGGTCGAGATTCTGCTCTCTCAGTTGGTTCACCTATCGAAACATCACCCTGGACGACAAAAACGATTTATGAGCTTTAGAAGCCGGAGTTTTACCTTAGGTGAAACAGAAAGCCTATTTCTTATTGTAAAAGATATGTTAATTCTAACGATTCCTATTTGTATTAGTAAAATTTCTCACTATAAATTGAGATGTTTGTACAAAGTTGAAAGTTCAAGATGATTTCGGCGACCTGTGACCTATGGACTACCTTGCTGTAAATGAATTAATACAAAAAGTAAAATAGAAATAGCGACAAAATTTTAATAGTGGAAGGAGAGTATTACAAAGACAACGATGGAATAATGGTAGTATCAGACTAGAATTAATCGAAAAACTGCAGTGAGTTTATTCAGCTCTCTTAGTACTTATCAAGACCTGTTCACTCGATCTCCAATTTTTGTTTCATTTCGAACACTTAAGCTTGACCTAACAGTGGTTTAACAACCGGCGTTATTCCCTGCGTTGTTCACGTGATGATGATGATGATATTCCCAAATACGAAGAACACACTGCGATAATGTATGCAAACACTTCGTGACGTCCTTTAAAGGAAAGTGAATCATGTCAAAAAAATTCGAAGGATTTTCGAATAGCTATTGGACTTTCGATGGAGAGTGAACGGTCAGCTGACTAGTCGCAGGTATCGCGTCAGCCATAGAGGCTGTTGCTGTCCGGAAATAAACCTGGTCGCATACCAACAAATCCCTGTTCGATTCATAAGGCAGACGACTGCATATGGTGAAGAAAGTGATGATACTCTACCACAGTTACTTTGTGTTTCTAAGAAAAATCGCACTCGACTAACGTTCAGTATGTCAATAAGGGAGACAGTAGATCCCTGAGCAGCAGCCGACTTTTCACACGAGCCCGACCGCTTCCCATGGATGATCGTTTCAAGGCAAAGAAAGGAAGAAAGGAACTGAGATAGTTCTGGACCCGATACGACACGTGAGGACGCGCCAGGTATCTATGTTGGACACGAACGAGAATTGATGCTAGGCGAAAGCTCCGGAACTGATGAAAAATGATGGAATGCGCACCGCAGGACTCTTGTCAGCAACTAGCAACCATATCCGGTTCAAAGTACATCATATTCCTTCGAAATGATAAGCTATCACAAGACGTCGATCCAGACGTTTCTTACACAACCGATAGTGCGATAGTGTTGTTTCAAATGTACAAATAATCGTATAAAAACACGAGCTTTGGAAATAAGAAAAACCTTGAGTTTTTTTGCACCTCTATTTATTTATCGTCAATCAAATAACTTCTTGTCACATCATATAATGCCTAAGAGCATCTGAATGTTTGACACTATGCAACCTACAATTTAGATAAGAAGGCGCCACTTGCCATGTTGTAATCATTCTCATATAATGTTGGCATATACCTAAGACATTTTGTAAAATCTCATCGATTAAGTCATCCTGCTCTCGTATATTAGGCATATCCTTCTAACGAATTTGGATTTCTTTGTCTACACTATGAAATGAAAGCGTAAGCGGTACAAGAAGTCGCATCAACTTCATTCATAATCATCTAAACCATACCTATTTGTTGGCGACGGTGTGGACACACTCGTAGTCGCATTAGCACCCATATTTAACGTCGTCAATTCAGGTTGCGGTGCATAACTGGTCAACGTTGGCATTGCAGAAAGATCTGGAATAAACGAAAAACGAATTACTGCTTTGAGCAATACGAGCTGTAATTTGTCACCTAATCCATAAATTCAGATCATCTTGCATGTTTCCTTATTCATTACTTGATACCTATTTGATACTTGAATGGCCCACCATCATTGGTTGTGCAAACCACAGCATAATCTCCATTTTGCAGAATCTTGCTGGTTAAGCCATTGTGGTTCCCTGGAATCTCGAGGTCAGCCTGGCCAAAGTCTGCCCCAGGTCGTCACCACCACAGGCAGTCGCCGCCGTTGTGGATCTGAGGGAAATTTGCCACCATGAAACTAGTTTGGTACCAGAACGGTGACGGATCCTGGTATTGGTTTGTTTTTAATTGGGCTTCCTGATGGAAACGGCGGACTGCTTGCTTGTGAGACCGTGCCAGGAGGATGAATCCCACGCTGTACATCGCAGCCCTACACCCAAGAACAGCTCCCAGCCACGATGAGGCGGTAAACCGTTGGGATGTCCTAATTCATTACTTTTAGTTATTCTATACGTCCCCTCTTTCACATCTATTATAGTATGCGGATCCCTGCACTTCATGTATTCGACCGATTCCCTCGCATCTATCATTCACGAAAGTCTCCCAAATTTCTGTGTGTAGGTTCGGGTGCTGCTTGAGGATTGTTGTCTTCCTTATGAATGCCGTCGATTGCTGGTCAAGTCGATTCTTCTTCGAGTACTGGGATAGCTGTACGCTGGACTAGACGGCTCTAGTTCCAATTTCCAGAACCCGGAGGCACTAGTGGATAGGTGAGCTCTGCACGGAATCGAGCCAGTACCGTGGTCGTGACCATCTGCATGACTAACACTGCGCTACACACCCTATTGTCTTCTTTTTTACACAAAAGCCATAAGAAAATTTACTCAAAAATGTGTCTATGAGACATCTATAGGAAGAACCACTTAAAGTGTAGGCCACTCTTAAGGCCACTTGAAAGACTGGAAATTAAAATCGAAATTTATTTACTTAAAATCAAATTAGTTCTACTGAAGTAGGTTCGACAATCTTTAAAGAGGATTCCACTTCAGAGAAAAATGAAGAAACGTTTTCGGTTTTCTTTTTAGTTAAACAAATCAGAAATAGTTGCGCTAAATAAGTCCTACGGTAAGTTTTAGTGATGGGAAAAGCAATCCGTAGTGAGTTATTCGGCACTTTTGCTCAAGCCTTCACCAATGATAACGCCCTATTGATAAGCTGTTATCTGTATTAACAGCACTTTTAACTATTCTATAAAATATTTACTTCAGTCATTATTTAGGCGGTTTGAATGTCGAATTTCTATACAAACAAATGGATAATTGATCCGTAAACAAATTCAAACAAAACAAGCACTTGAACTCTGTAAGGGAAAAAAACATTGGGAAAGGTTTGAAAATTAAGAAAACGAAGTGATCCAAAGAAGGTCTCTTCAAAACCTATTCCACTTCAAATAAAGAGGAAAAATTAACTCGAATTGACTTTCTTAGATTAGAAAAGTGTTACCACTGACCGTTTTCCTGCTTACATTGCTCTTCCTTTACTACACTAGTAATAGTGGTGGCAGTGGTGGTGGTGTTGGTGTTGGTGGTGGTGGTAGTGGTGGTATTCGATATGGAAGTGTTGCTCGGAGATGTTACTGCCTTCGGTAGTGCAGGTACTTCAGATTTCGTTGGAACTGTTGTCGCATTCATTGCACGACATAAGTTCATATTGTATGTTACTGGTTCGGTGATGTTTGCCTCTACAAAACGATAGACAAACTTCTGACCGATGACCTGAAACGTATGAAGGACTTTGTCTTCATCACAGGCATCACTGATGGATGGCGTAGACAGAACATTTTGAACGAAGTAAAGAAAATTTTACCCAAAATTTTACAAGAAGAATACCCAGGACGTTATTTATTAGTGGAGATGACAGAAATTTTTTTTATCACCAAGCAAACTCAATAAATTTAAGTAATATGAAATTAAAAACCATACACCGAAAACGGGTCGAGGCTCTTAAACACGACCGATTCAAATCTGAACGTGGCAAATTTTACGCCAGCTTTTAGTAATCACTAACCTAGTAGTTCAATGACTAGAATGTATGCACAAAGATTAAAAGACAGTTATTAAAAATGTTTAGTTTCCTTCCTCCACGACTAAATCTAGGTCGATCCCACTGGTTTCATTTAATCCAATTGATTCAAAAACCTACCTTCTTTATGATATTTTTATCATAATAATATCGCAAAGCTCTGGATAGTTTATCGTAGTTCATATGTGGCTTCGCCTTCCGTTGTCCCCACAATCTCGCGACAGCTTCAGCATCCAAAAGCTGAAAAACCAATGACATCAAGGCGACAGATCGTCAGGATGTACTCGTCAAGATTACCGTGGACATTAATTGAAAGTATAAAAAGTCATTTTTGGAATCTTTTTACGACGAGGAACTCCATTCGACGTGGGTAATGGCTCCGGAAGACGGAGCCTCACCATTAGTTCACACATCACAACTCACCTTGAATTCACCCTCTCGATTCGTCCACTGTATTAACTGTGGATGTTCACCTTGTACGAGAAGTTCCAAGAGAAACTGCCATAACGTGATATTAGAATCGACTGAAGATCGACTCGAATAATCACCGTCATGACGGGTGATACCAACAGAAGCCGCCGGCATCGCATCCATCATCATCGTTGTCGTTATGATGAATTCGTCAGAGTACAAACTGACGAGTTCTTTACAATACCTGTAATCGTGGAAAAGAAATCAATTGCTACTAATCGATGGAGATAAGAAACGAGCGAAAAATATGAAACTATGTCAACCGACGAGGTGACGAGAAATTGACGACGAAAAAATCGATAACCCTTAAAAGCATGATGTTTAGAGCTTCAAGCGCGGAATAAATGAATGAGTAAAAACGAAGAGAAGACAGCGAAGGATACGCTGGCAATTGCCGTTTATTCTAGCCATCTGGACGTTCGGCAAAGAATTCTTACTCCATTTTTTAAAATTTTATTTTACATGACCCTTCTTCACGCCTACTGTGTGGATCCCAGCACTTCTCACATTCGATTCGTTTTTTAGCATCTATCATCCATGGAAATCTTCCAACTTTACGTGTGGCTTCTGTTGCTGCTTGATGATTTTCATTTCATCTTGAATGTTGTGGAATGCTGGTAGAGCAATCCTCCCATGTCCTGAGATAGCCGGGCTGGAGCGTTCCCAGTTGCATTGAAGAGAGTAACTTTTTCCCAGACAAGTCCGTTAGCAATTTCCCTGCCCCCGAGGAATGAGAGGCTTGGTTAACCCAAGCCGAATCAAGAAAGAAAAATACCACTCAAGGTCTTCGCTAGAGTGCAGGAATGGTGAAGTGTGATAGGTTTGGAAAAAATCGTAAATACTCCCGTCGTTTATCCGTCCTTTTGTTCACAACGCTTGATTCATCCTATTCTACAGTACTCGATTTTGTTCACTAAGTGCTTCATTAGCCATTCATATTCAAATGAAACATATTCTTATGTCATTCTCAAAACACTAATGATGTTCTTTGACGTTTATGATATAATTTGGCATTGAAATGCTGACTGCAAAAACATGGAAACCTTAGAAAGATGTGCCGACATGGGTAATAAAATTTATGAAATATTACCGAAGAATCACAGCATTAATCAATTAACGCATAAGATGTCACTGTTAGTTATATCAGAGCGATTTCAACTTCTTATCACAGTAAACTCAGAGAGATATTGAGTAGCACCGACCACAATCATCGAGTGAGCAGCATTTGTCCTGATATTGCAATGTCTTAACTTTTATTTACCACCTATTGTTTGTTCACTGCAGGGTTTATCGTAATGTGAAGTACAACCAGAACGATGCTGAGATATAAGCAAAATTCGGAACTTCGGTTGGGCTTTGAACCCGCGTTTACCAGGGCAATCACGAGTTCGACGCCCAACGGAGGTTCTGGGTTTTGCTCATATCTCAGCATCCCTGCAGTTGTCCGATATTTGAATGTATTTAGGCGATCTTAAACAGCCATTCCCGTTGCTGATAACCTAAATTCGATAATGTTTATGGTAATTTCGAGTTGAGTGATTCGAATGGTGATTAGAAGACGACGACGCATCGATCAATAATCATCATCATCATGACTGACACACAGCAAACGATGAGTGGGACTGAGAGCGAGAGAGAGAGAGAGAGAAGGGCTTGAGATGGGGACTGAAGGAAGGAACCCGTTTATGGCAGAAATGAAAGGAAGTGACGGTGCCAGTGGTAGAGTGGAGTACTTTGAAACGACTGACTAGCCTTCTTTACACAACAACAGTAGGGTTATTTTTAGTTCCTCATAAAAAATACTTAGCTCCCATTATGAATAAAGTAATATTCACTTATAAATAAACCATAATAACAAGAGGTTACAACTTTGCCATTCTTTAAAATATAGATCAATCAATCTCACTACAGAAATATAACTGTCATTTGTGTCAAGCACCTGAAACTGTTCAGGATGCTCTCCCGGGTAGAAACGTAGGCATCCATTGTGCTGTCAATGTGCAATAACGTCCTGCATACCTTGTCGCTCTTCATTAGCAACAAAACAGACAACAAAAATGAAACGCTAAAAAAAGTAAACGGTGACAATAATGTTAAAAAATACTTACTTGGGTTTTTTTATACCAGCTTCGGAGTATTTTACCATGCATAGGACAACTAATAAAGGATGAAGGATAAAACTCTCGGCGTTGATCAATTCCTGAGGGATGCGCCATGCATTCGACTTCATTAGGTATCGTTTGGAGGTGATTGAATGCATATCTAGCCTTTACAATGACTCGCGGTGGCCTACCGATGTATTGAACCAGTGCTGCTATCCTCCTAGACAAGTCTGCTACCAATTTTCTCACCCCGGAGGAATGGAAGGCTAGGTGGGCCATGAGAGCGTGGATCGATTCCACGTGTGTGTTGCAGAGCGCCTCCGACCACAGCGCCACACACGCCCTAGGACAACTAATAAGGATCAAGAATGATATTCTGATAAAAAAGTCCCAAAATCCAAATAAGAAACAGCTAGATGCTTTTTGTCATTGTGATCTTAGCTGAAAAAGTCAAATTTCTCGTAAAAGAAGTGCTGCTAAGTGGCGTTGAAAATTCTCAGTTCACCACACCCTCTTTCGCACTCACGGAGATGATGAACAACACAAACACCACTAAAAACATCAACATCACCATCATTACAACTTAGAACACAGCAATACGACTGAATCTTGGTTAAGTATCTTCTGTGTTTTGGTTATAGAGGTGTTTGGCTGAGTAGATTGCATTCAACTTGACCTTCCAAGCTCTGCAAAAGCCTAAACCCACCGAAACGTCAGGTTTTCCGTCAATAAGGAATAAACTAACACCTCGTGTTTGTTGATCAAGAGTATACTGTATTATTTGATAGATGCCAAAGTTAATGGACAGTCGATTTTGGGAAGAATTAAAACACAACAGTCATAAGCAGAAACGCCTCAACAAAATGAGGTAGAAATGATGGAAGTTGGACAGAATGAAATCAGACTAGAGATTAGAAAGCGCTTAGAAAAGATGATACCCTGAGACAACACGTTTGATTTTGGTTTGTTTATGAAAGTGAAGAAAGCTTGAAAGAGTAAAACTCTAACTATATACTATAAGAAGCAAAATGAAGGAAATTGAAAATTTCTAGTGTTGTGGTTAAGAAAATGATGAAGACGAAACAAAACTCGTCAATAATATCTCTACTTAGAAAAGTAGAAAAATGACATAAATAAGTTGGCGTATTTCATCTACAGGAATCACGGTCGTGGAGAAATAACTGAACAGAGGACCTTGCTCTGCTTATGAACATTAAAACGGTCCTATCGTTGTTTGTTACTTTGTTAGTTTAGTTGCTCTAGCACGTTCTAGGAAGAAAAAGGAAACAAACAAGCAGAGAACATGAGATAAAATAAAAAAAAACATTTCTGTAGCAGAATAGTAATGTTCAAGAAAACCGTGTTAACACTATTATCAACATTCTTATAATAAGTATATTTATACAGAATTGCTCAAAACTAGTACCACCACGACTGAATTGTGTGCTTTGTGAGTGACCGCTGTCAGTTGAAACTCAAGAGGAGCAACCGGAGAGGTTGTTTCGGTTCGTATAACCAGCAGGCACTTCTGTCGGTTCCGCCGAAAGCTCATAGAGGAGTATGGTTAAATTGGTATAGAATGGCCAAAAAGATGACGGTGTTCAAGATGCGCAAAGTTCTACCGCCCATCAACAAAATGAACTAGCTCGCCTCATCATTATTGTACTAACAACAAGGCGTTCTAGAGAAAAACAAAACAAAAACGAAAGAGAAACCTAAAAGGAAACTTGAACGATTGTCAGCATGATATACATGATGATCCGAATTCCAGAATATTACCACTGCAAAAAAAAACCTATTTTTAGACGTATCATTTAATTACATTCCAACTTTAATACCCGTAACAAATAACGGTTACCCGTGACTAACGATGTGATTTCTGCAAGTGGTGGTTTCCATTCTTTCATTGAAATTCAATAGTAAACACGGTGAGGCTTCAGAGAACTTTCTATCACATTGAAATCTTCGTCTCACGTTTTTCTCCTTTGTAGGTTTAAGTTTAATGTCTATCGGATAGTGCCCACAAATGTCAATATTATATAATCTCCTTCACGTTCTCAAAAAGTGGAGATGAACCGAAATATTCCAAAGTCATCCAAATCCAATGTGGAATAAATTTTTGACTAACAATCTTTTAGCAACTCGGCAAAAACACGGCTATTTATAATAACGCACTATTTTAGCTTTCAGCTTCTTTAAGAACCGTGAACACTTCTTAAAAGCCCAAAAGCATTCTTCTAAAAATATGCAGAACATATTTTTAAAATAACATTACACTAATGATGCTATGATGTTTATGAATCCTCCTTTCCACCGTTTTTTCAAATCTTTAACCCTCTCGCTTATTTTTTTGGTATATTTTATCATCTAGAGCGATTCTGATGAAAGATAGGAGGCGACGATCTGTCACTCATATGTGGGCGGTGCTAATTTGTGGTACGCTTTAAAATATATGCGATACGGTCTTTCTCTGCGATGTTTTAAGTAGAAGACGAATCCGTTAGTGCAGAGAGATCTCACCTCATGTCCGTACATTTTTCGAGAAAAAAAAAACGAACGAATAACTAAATAAACTGAACATAAGAATGCTATTTTATGAACTGACTCGTAGATAAGTTGTCATAAAGCCATCTGAAGAAAAATATTGCCACGTAACGAGAAAACTGTTATTATCTCAAGATGAGTGACATTACTCGAGTATTTTACGAATACATAATGACCATACTGAGCAAGAAAAAACAATCCTTTAGCACCATCTTCACGTATCTTTCATACAAAACGTTTCATGGATAGCCACAGTGATGATTTCTTGAACATTGAGATATTTGCAAAATTTGGGCCCTATGCTATATTCGAACCCGCGATTACACTTTCCGGGAGCTCACGTATTACTCTCTGCACCACTGACACCTTTGCTTTGCCTTACTGCCTCTCAACCAGTTTTCCACTCTAACGGTGCCATCAGCAATCAACCGTTTCATGGAGAAGTTCACGAATGCTTCACGGAGTTTATGTTTTCTCCTTCTGTTGTGATTTGTAAACATTTCAATGGACGATGAAACATTTGATTTTAAAACAACGCTAAAAAAGAGAGGAAAGACAACGGAGAGTAAATCTACTAAGGACTTCAGTAATGGCACAATCTGTGACTGATAGCGGAACGGCAGACGACTTAACTAGATTCCTGGATAAATGGAAGAATGGATGGATGAATTGATGAATGGATGAATGAACACAGATGGTGTGGATGACGATGGTAGTCGAGTTCATCGTTGAGTATGCAGGCGACAGCAAACAATTCGGCGGCAGTGTAAAGTTGCAGAATGCTGACCGAAATGGCAAAAGTAGTTTCCATCCATGGACTATCAACTTCAACAAATTACCATTTAAACAGAATTTGACGCAATAGTTAGAAAAACTTAATGCGTGCAACTTCAGCACTGATAATGTCCAGCATAGATTCAATCTAGTGCTTCGAATGTTATTTTGAAACCTTTGCACAAGTGATTTTGTTGTCGGTGTAAGATTTCAGACAATGACCATCAATTTTAGTAAATCAGATTTTACAACGATATAACTTGATATCGGTCAAAATCACTATCAGCCACAACTCTTGAAACTTCCTAGGGCTCATTTTGTTTCGTCTATCAGGGAGGAAACACAAAGAATAATCGCCGTCTTTTTTCTCTAAGGCACCATATTCTTATGATAGCAATGCAAAAAGTAGAGATAAGAATACGGAATTGCTATCTGGAACGAAAACGGCACTCTTGGTGTGACACCTGAAAGATGATTTCACAATCTGATTGTCCTTGTCTTTCACAGATGAAAACAATTTGATTGTCCTGATGTTTTTTCCGCTCTTCAGATGTTTTTGTTCAATTAGTATCCGCTGTTTCTTTGCGCAGTAGTTGTTTTTCAGACGTGGAAAGTTCAGTAGATCAAAAATTTTCTTAATAAATGCTGTAATCCTGCTATACAGCTACATTCATTAATGTGAATATAAACGGTTGAAGATCAGAACTATAGAGAAGGTTGAGTTATGAGCTGTGAGATTGAGATTCTATGAACTATGAGATTACAGCAACAAAAAGGAAAGGAAACGGTGAGCCAGAAAGCCCGAATCGGTTTCAAAATCAGAACCGTAGGATAGGATCGTTCGAGACTTTCACAGACATCTAGCAGTATGGCTAAACGTAGATATACAAATTTTGGCCCACACAACACAACGAAAAACCACGCCCATCTGCTGCCTAGTGCCACAGATTCCAATAAGGATCTTTATGGATTCTATGAAATGGCCCACAAAGGTAAAAAATTCCAGGAAATTAAGAAACGTCAAAAGGTTTTACTCGACGCTTCTTTCTTTCCTTGAATTAAAGAAATAGAGAATGAGGAAAAACAGCAAGCAAAGAGTATCATCACCGTGGTGCTTTTTCAGTCGTCATCGAAACAACTACTGCATCGA